TTTATCTGAATCTATCCTGAACCAAAAATGTTTCAAAATTTTGCATTTCTGATGTTAGAAAGGGTAATATGGTAGGTATAGAATGTATTATGTAACACCCCCAGTGGATTCTGGGGAAGTATCCCAAAATCAAACACAGTATTTCTGCAAAATATGAATGTTCACTTTAAGTAGGATAAATAAATACTACAAACAGTGTATGATAATACCAATAAGATCTTGCAGCCAAATGAATTCAATTCAGGTCAGGTTTTGCCTGCTAAACGTGTTATAAAAAAAACATTTGTTTTTCAAAGGTTTTACTCTTTTGAATTGCAGATGAACCTTGTAATTTCAATTTAACAAGCACTCAATGAATTCCTAAAGCAGGCAAAATCCAGTTGTGGAACTGGTTGGGTTGAGGATGTGCAGGGACTGGGGAATGGTAGAGATGAAGATACACTAAAACTTGAAACCTAGAGCACCATATACTATACTGAAAAGTGTGATGATCTCCATTAAAATAACTACCTGCTTAACCAAGAATATTTTTACTAAACTTTAACAGATTGTTCTATGTCAGGAATGCCATGAAGTTGCCGGACCATATGGAAACTAGCTATATCAAATGTGAAGTCAATATTTTAAAGTACTTTGAAATACCAAAAATTCAACAATGGATTCTACAATTTAAACTAATTGCAATTAGGGTCTATTAGGAGACCAAAGAGCCCTGGTGGCACAGAGGTTAAGCGCTCAGCTGCTAACCAAAAGGTGGGTAGTTCGAATCCACCAGCTGTTCCATGGGAGAAAGATGTGGCTGTCTGCTTCCACAAGGATTAACCAAAAGAAACCCACTGCCGTCAAGTCAATTCCAACTCATAGCGACCCTACAGGACAGAGTAGATCCGCCCCATAGGATTTCCAAAGCTGTAAAACTTTACAGAGGCAAACTGCCACTTCTTTCTCCCAAGGAACAGCTGGTGGGTTGGAACCACCAACCTTCTGGTTGGAAGGTGAGCACTTTAACCACTGTGCCAGCCCTGGAAATCCTATGGGGAAGTTCTATTCTGTCCTATAGGATCACTATGAGTCAGAATCGACTCAACAGGAACATGTAGACGACCAACTCATAAAAACAGCTTGTATCTGACCATGCATGTATATTCAATGAGTATGGGATTTCCTTTTTCTTTATATATATATCTCAGAAAAAAAATTCAAACCCACATTAATGACAAATTAAAAATTACTTTAATATGGTCATATCAGAAAACCGAGAAGTTAAAGCTCTTACAATTATCACAAAAATGTTTTGAATATTAAGGTATAAATTCAAACAGCATATCTAATATAAGGCTATCAAAAAGAAGAACACCTTTAAATTATAGCTGTTAAATGATTCTTAATTAAATTTATGTTTTCAGGATATATTTTCCGACAATTTTTTTTTCAAAAAAATTCTATTAACAGATTATGAAAATAAAAAATCAGTCTCTTTAGAAAAATAAAAAATATACTTTTAAAAAACCAGAGGACTTATAGTCTTCTAAGCTTCAAAGTCCAAAAAGAACTAAAAAAGTCACCTTCAAAAAAATTACACTTTAAACTAGGAAGTATCAAAATAAGTAAATTATCTGAAAACAACAACTGAGCTACTAAACTGCAAAAAAAAAGCTTCAGAAAACACATTTTTCCAATAACTAAGTAAGATTCCTTCAAAGCCCAAAGAACTTTGACTTAGAAAAAATTTCTTCACTCTATACTAGAGTCTGACCCAAGCATGTCAAATATTTAGTGGTCCCTTTCCTGAAATTGGAGCCTTGATGATGCAGTGGTTAAGAGTTCGGCTACCAAAAAGCATGCAGTTCAAATCCACCAGCTGCTCCTTGGAAATCCTATGGAGCAGTTCTACTCTGTCCTATAGGGTTGCTATGAGTCGGAAGCGACTCGATGGCAACGGGTTTTGTTTTTTTTTCCTCAAATTAAGAGAAAAAGAAATTAAGAAAATACAAGTAAATGAAATAAAAACAAATAGAACACTCAATAAGAAAGCAATTTCCTTAGGAAAGCATATATGTGCTAGTACACTAAAGGCAAAAATGTAATCAAGAAATACATGGATATTTTCAGATTAAGATTTTCTACTCAAGCATAACGACTGTGAGCATGGTGCAGGACTGGGCAGTGTTCCGGGCTGTTGTACATAGGGTCGCCATGAGTCAGAACCGACTCGATGGCACCTGAAAACAACAACTGGCATTTAAAATCAAATACAGTTGTCAATGGAATTATAGACATTTAATTAAATGATAGACTCTTACCAAAGGAAAACAAATGTGATTAAATATACAAAGAATACAAAGATAATAGAAAATCTGAAAACTGAATTTCTAAAACAACTTTGATATGAAGGTTTCTATTGCTTTTGTGAGAAATAATTTAAAAAGAAAACCAAACCTGCCATATTCGTGTAAGTCCATGTTCTAATTTCTTTTTCACGTAGCCACGATCAAAATTAGTTTCTTCAGTACCTATCATATTACTTCCTTCTGAAAATAAAAGATGTCATATGTTTTTAAATTTATTCAAAAACGCTTTTGTTTTCCAAATAATTTCAGTTTGGACTCTCATATATTGTGAGCTATGCAAGATAAAGAAAATAAATTCAGTATTTATACAATAATACATAGGTTATCTTTTCTGAAAAAAAAGAATAATCTGATCAGTTTTACCACCTTATATGAAATAAATGTTAAGTTAAATCAATACTAAAATGACATCTGTCTTTAGACAGAAGTCACCTAATGACTAAGTATAATAAAGCGAGTTTAAAATTTAGTTCTAAGTTCTATATAAGACGTGTTCTAATACAATGTTGGCTTTAGTAGCTTCAAATTATATATCTGATGTAGTCTGTGAACCAAAGTTGGCTTCTAAAGCTTTCTAAAGTGCGTATGTTACCAAAATCTACAAATAACTTCCAAAGAAATAAATCAAGCAGATGGACAAGGTGATTTTTCTCGAAAGGAAAAATATAGAGTAATGCTAACTCATCACAACAAACAATGCATGAGAAAGAGGCACAATGCCTTTTCTGCTGCTTATGGCAAATGTTCTTCGTAATTTCTGTTTTGGTTTGTTTTTCCTCTTCTACTTCTGTGGTGTCAAAGGTTTCTAAAACAGAGGAAGGGACACTAACCCTAGAAAAATGAAAACTTATACAAAACTTGTACATGAATGTTCATAACACTTTTACTTCTAACAGTCAAAAACTGGAAACAACCTGAATGTCCTTCAATGGATAAATGGTTAAACAAAGTATACTATATCCACACCATGAAAGACAACTCAGCAATAAAAAGAAGTGAACTATTGATACACACAACAACTTGGATGGATCTCAAGACACTATGATGAGTGAAAAAAGTCAACCCCAAAAGGTTACATGCACAGTATGATTCCAGTTATATAATATTCTCAAAGTGATAAAATTATAGTGATGGATCAGCGGTTGCCAGGAATTAGGGTTGGGGGAAGGATGTCACTATTAAGGAGTAACACAAGGGAATTCTTTGCAGTACTGGAATAGTCCTGTGTCCTAATTGTTACATGAATCTATACATGCAATGAACTTTCATAGAACTACACACACACACACACACACACACACACACACACACGAGTGCATATAAAAACTGGTAAAATCCAAATAAGGTCTCATTTGAGTTCATAACATTATACTAGTGTCAGTTTCTTGATTTTGATTACATTCAATGGTTATGTAAGATGTTCCATAAAGAGTACATGGAAACTACTATTTTTGCAACTTCCTGTGCCTCTTAGAACTCTTTCAAAATAAAAGTATTAAATTAAAAACAAACAAAAAAACAGTCAGAGAGAATTTTTCCCTTTCATAACACAGAGAAAAACTATATACAGCTAACCAGGACGTTTTGAAGGTAACCTGAAAGTGGAGTGTAAATCACCAAAGAAAGGCTTAGGCCTTTAAGATAACATAAACAGGATTTAATAAAGGAAAAGTTAAGCATTAGTAATTTGTGCCATGTGTTTGTTTTGTTTTTCACCTACTGTTTTAAGGAGTAAACTGAGGCCTATAAAGATAACTTCTTCAAGTTCTCACTTTTGGTAAATGGCAGTCAAAACTTGAAGCTAGGTCTCTCTGATTGCAAAGCCCAAGCTCCCTGAATTACAAAGGACAGTAGGAGGAGGAGGGTGAGAGCATAGGGGTGGGATAAAAACAACCTGGCCTAGAATCCTGGCTCAGTACCTATCCCTTCTTTCTATTTTCTCCCCTCCTTTCTCTCTCCTGCACTCCCCAAAAAATATCCTAAAAGCATGAAAATCCTTTCATAGAATTCTCTACTCTTAATTTTTTTCTATGTATGTTTATGAGCTTCTTATGAATCAAGACAAAGATTAAACTTATGTCTTCTATACCATCAAAATTTGATACTTTATCAAATAATAATATTCGGGCGTTCCCTCCACTCACGCAACCACAGAAAACAAGTACTTCAGAATTTAGAAGTTAATTAAAAGGCTTGACTAAATAACTACAATAAATTATATATGATTTAAAAAAGTGCAGTGTAATTTATTTTTGCCAAGATTAAACAAAACGCTGATAAAATCGCTTATTATAAAAGTATTTTAATATTTAATCTTAGCTATTATTCAAGGATATCACTTGAAATAGCTATTATATAAATGAAGCAATTTACATACAATGTCTAGTTAATTTCTCAGAGTTGTTCGTTATTATTTAGCTGACTCTTACAGTCATTTAAAGTTGCATTTTCCATTCAAAGATTAATATTTTAAAACACCATCATTTTTTATGAAATTTTAAGTCTCACTGTATATTTAGGAAGAAAAATACCAATATAACTATTAATTCTTAAGATCTAGTTTTATTAATACAACTTGAAAATTAGCAAAATAATTTTTTACTACTAAACATTTAGCATTAGTTTTATAGTAAATTTGGACAGAGCACACTGTTTTATCTAGTTTATAACTAAGTATCTTTAAAATAAATAAAACGGTCCTTTCCCAATAATTCAGCCCTAAGGCCAACAGGAATGTACCCCTCGGAACTGGTATCAACTTCCACTTAAAAAAGTCCTTTGGCCCAATTAATCTCCAAAGGTAATGGGGCCTTTACAGTACGTATCACTCTCTTACGTGAACATTTAACCTAGGGTCACTACAGTCCATGAAATTCTTAAGTCATGCTTGCCCCTTTTCTTTCTCCTTACTCAAGGGATGTGGCATATTTATATTTCAATTTTTAAAATAAAATTGAATAATTACCTACCAGAAGCTGAGGTAGAATCCTCATTGTCATGCTTTTCATGCCATTCCATAGTCCTGTAATAACTAAGCATAACTTCCCACAATGCTTTGCAGAGGTCGGCAAGGCATGGAATGTAGCTGTCTGGTGTGACATGCTAAA